CGGCGGGGACGTTTCTCCATCTCTGTTATTCAGCTTCCAGGCTACACGTGAGGATTAGAAACCACCACGACCAAAACACGCGCTGCCTCCGCGTAGGCGCCAGGGCCAGGCGCACGCGAGGAGCGCGGGGCGGGCGCCGTCTCTGAGGCTGCGGGCGGGCGGGCCGGGCGCCCCGAGCAGCTGCGTCCCGCCCCGCGCTGGATCCTGCCCCTGCGCCCCTTTGGCGACGCTGCCAGAGGCGCCCTCCCGCCCGCGTCTCCTGGGGTGTCCGGGTCCCCCATCGGCTCCCCAAATGCGGGCGCCGGGAAGCCTCTCCTGCGGGCGGGCCTGCCCCGTCTCCGCGACGGGCGGGGCGCCGGGGCGGACGCGGTCCTGCTTTTGAGACGCCGCCGCGGGCGGGCCGGGCCGGGGAAGCCGGACCCGCCGCCTCCCGCCCCAGCCGCCCGCTCCGGGGCGCGGGCCCAGCCCGCTGATGGCGCTAAGTGATTCCGGCGCCGCTCCCCGGGGCCGCGCTCATGCGGCGCTCAGCATTCCCGGCACAGCTCGGCCCGCCCAGGCTCCCCGGCGCCGCCGGCACAGGCGGGGCGTGCGCCCGGGCCCGGCCGTCCAATTTGTGCTCGACCCGGCCCGCCCCGTCGGGTCCCAAGACCCAGGCGCTTCCGGTCTTGGCTGCGGCTTTGCTCTCGCCCCGCCCCAGCCCGCGGGCACCCCTCGCCCCCCACCGGGTGTGGACTCCCCAGCCCAGCAAAGGGGGCAGCCTCTGTCACCGCCCCCCCCAGGCAGTAGTGGTGACGCTGAGACTTACCCCCAGCCACAGGGAGGCCCACGAGGCCTTTTCCACCCTGACTCTTGGGGTGCATCCATTTCCTTTCATACCCGTCAGCCCAAAAGCCAGCACTTTTCTCATCTTTATTATCCCTGCGCTATACCCCTCCTTCTTCTTATTTTTTTTAAGATTTATTTATTTTTATACAAGAACTGGGGTACAGTCCAGATGCGTGGGAGGGTGAGAGGATTCACCAGAGACAGAGTGGGGAACAGAACAGGCAGACTGACTGAAACACACTGCTGAGGGGAGCAGCGGGTGAGTCAGGAGAGGTCTGTTGTGCCATGTGGGTTGCTCCCTGGCCAGGAATCGAACTCTTGCTGCAGAGGCTGCAGATAGCTTCATAGTGTGGGACCTAACCCTTTGTGCCACCAGGGAGACCCCTGGAGATTGGGGTTTTATCTGGAGGCTTGCAACTTTTTGTTATGTAAAGACTGTAGACAATCTGAACCCTTGATAGCCTCTTCACTGCTTCCCTTAAGACCTCAGTGGGCTAGGCCGTAGGGTCAGTACATCACACAAGTAACTTAGGGAACAGGTGGGGCTTGCCCAAGGTCACGCTGTAAGTCCTGGGAGAGCTGGGGCTGGTTCCCGCCCTCTCTTCTATTCCTCCCTGTACAGGCACCTGTGGAATATTCCCGGAAAACACACTGTGGCAAGCACTGCACCATGAGTGGCGCTGCTGTTACAGGACATGAAAAGAGTCCTTTTTGCCTTGGAGCTGTTACTCTAGAGGGGGCAAAGGTGCACATAGAGGGTGCACAGCCACATAAGGCCACACACACAAAAAGACAATGTACCACAAGTTGTAGTGAGTGCTGTTAAACCCACCAACAGATACCCAAATTATAAAATAATCAACACGGGTGATGGGTAGGCTCCTCTTAGGAGATGACATGTAAGCAGCCATTTGAACCCCGGGCAGGAGGGAAGGTAGGTGAGTCTTCTAGACTAAGGGACCATCCGGTTCTGAGATCCCAGAGTAGGAACGGAAAGATGCAGACAATTTGAGATAGCCGGTAGAGGGAGGACTAGCAAAGTGAAGGAAAGAGAAGGACCAGGCTGAGTCCCAGGTTCTTGGAAGAGTGGCTGGTTGGGCGGTGGTGTGATACAGTTTGGGGGACCTCGGGAGTGAGCAGGGAGCTGAGAGCTGAGTGAAGTTGGATCATGTTAAATTTAATATCCAAGAGGAGGTGTTGCTGGGAACTTGTAATCACAAATCTGGCACCTGGGAAGAGAGGCCCAGGAAGCAGCTATGAATGGGTGAGTCATTACTTTGTGGGAAGTGCATAATGTGGGGTGAGAAGCAATCGTCCAGTAAGAGAAGAGAGAGGACACAGGACTGAGTCCTGGGGTGCACCAACATTTAGAAGTCAAGGACCAAGAGAAAGAGCCAGAAAAGGAAACTGAGAACATCCAGGTGGTGGATTTAAAAAGCATTATTTAAAAAAAGAACAAGAGTTCAACCATGTCAAATGCTGCTAAAAGATTATATAAAATGAGGACACAGACATGATCACCAAATTAACGTTGTGGAGGTGGTTTATGACTTTGTAACAGGAACTTCAGTAGACTTGTTTGGGTAGACGCCTGAATGGAGGGAGTTGAATACATGTTGACTTCTGGATTAAAATGGCAGCTGGAGGGGCTTCCCTGGTGGCACAGGGGTTAAGTCACAGCGCTATCAAACTATCACTAGCCTCTTCGGCATGAGTTCGATCCCCGGCCAGGGAGCTGACCCACACGGCACAGCAGACCACTCCTCTCATGCCCCCACACCTCTGGCCTGTACGCCAGCTCTTGTATGCATAAATAAATAAATAAAAATAAATTTTAAAAAATAGCAGATGGACTATATTGAAAAACCAAGACAATCACTAACTTTGGGGAAAGCAAAAAGTCATTCAGTCATAGAGGAAGGTCATCGGAATATATCAATGGCTTAGCTTGCAGGGCATATTTGCTGTCTAATTCTTTTTTTTTTTATAGAGGCATGTTTTATTTATTTGTTTTGTTTGTTTTTTGTTTATACAAGCACTGGGTACAGTCAGAAGCGCGGGAGGGTGAGAGAATTCACCAGAGCTAGAGCGGGAAGCAGAGCAGGCAGAAGGACCGAAGTACACTGCTGAGGGGAGCAGCGGGCGGCAGGAGAGGTCTGCGCGCCATGTGGGACCCTCCTCCGGTGGCTGGGGAGCAGCCGGGGATCGAACCGGCGCTGCAGAGGCCGTGGGCAGCTTTGCAACCCAGCGCTCAACTGCTGCGCCACCGGGGAGGCCCTGCTGTCTAATTCTTAATACTGATCTAACCATTATGATACCATTTTATCAAGAAATGGTTGGTGAAGGGGCCTCCCTGGTGGCGCAAGGGGTTAAGACGTAAACTGTGGAGATGTCCACAACCACTGCAGCATGATCCCCAGCCAGGGAGCAACCCACATGGCGCAACAGACCTCTCCTGTCTCGCCCGCTGCTCCCCTCAGCAGTGTACTTCAGTCAGTCTGCCTGTTCCGTTCCCCGCTCTGTCTCTGGTGAATCCTCTCACCACCACCCGCCCCACCCCCCCAGGCACCCCAGGCACCTCTGGCCTGTGCCCCAGTTCTTGTATGCATAAATAAATAAATCTTAAAAAAAAGAAAAGAAAATGGTAGGTGGGAAGGTGCTTGTGGGGGATGGTGGGGGAGGACGGGTCGCAAGAGACATCCTCTCTTTTCGATGACATAGAATCGACATCTTGAACCGAGGTGTGGGAGATGTAAGGATGAAGGTGTGAAAGTGGTTTTGATAAAGGAACACACAAGGGAATGGGCCGCACATGAGGCAGCGTGGGCCACGCCTCCTGCAGCGAGGCCCACATACACCCCCAGATGGCCGAACCACGAAGGCACAGAGAGGTCGTGGAGTGACCGGCCCAAGTCATGACATTTCAAGCAACAGAGGCAGAGTTGGACAGACCACTGTCCCCGCGATGTTCCTGCGAAGCCTGGTTTCAGGTTCTGAGAGTAGCACCAGCCCCCTCCGGCACTTGGAGGGGAGGAAATGGCTGTGTCCCTGGGAGTTCCTTGCACACCCTGGAGAGAAGGCCAGGAGTCTGGGGCTGTCAGAGCTGCAGGCTGAGCCGCGCCCGAGAGGAGTAGTGGGACAGCTAGGCCGGACCCAATGACCCGCGGGGTGCTTGGATGGCCTGGGAAGGGAGGCTGGGGCGCCTTTCACCTGTCAAGCTGAGGTCATGAACCAAAGGCTGCTCTTTCAGACTAGGCCCATTGGCTGTGGCTCCTCACCTCCCCCGGCCCCAAAGCCCCAGTGCTTCCTAGACCTGAGATGCTGCCTGACTTGGTCCCCACAAACTAGGGTCCTGGCGGAGGTAGGGACTGCGCCAGGCTGGCTGCCGGGTTCTATGCCCCCCACCCCCCGACACTTTCGCACCATACTCGGTCTGGATTTCTCTTTCCTCTCGTAGAGGTTCCCCCCCACCCAAGTCCTGCCAAGGTGGGGACTGATGGGGAACAGACCAAGAAGCTGCCCCAAGGCCCTCAGTCCCTGAAGCCTGCTCTGGGTGTGCAGAGAGTGGGGGCTCCCCTGCCTCCCTGGGAGCCTGATCCACTCACCCGCCCCGGGGGGATGCCCCTTCTGACTCCATCTTGGCCCCTTCCCTCCACGGCGGCGACTGCCAAGTGTCGTTTCCTTTCGGGTGGCGCCAGCACAACGCTCCCTTCTCACCATCTTGGGTGTGTCGCTCTGGCTTGTTTGTCCTTTTCCCAGGGCTAACCCTCTGGCAGGGCCCTCCAGCGTCTCACTGTCCCGCCGCTTTGGGGCATGTCTCGCCCCCCAGCCCCTTCTGGGCGGCCAGATGCCCAGAGACACCTGCAGGCCACCCTCCGCCTGTCCCTCCCCAGAGAGCCTCAGTCACGGTCGCAGCAGCTCCTGTCACATCGTGGCTGCCACACGGGGCCAGTGACAGCCCGGAGGCCAGCGCTCCCTCCCCCGCCGCCCCTGCACACGCGGGCCCACGTGCCTCCCCAGATGCCTGAATCACTGCTGATGCTGCAACCTGGCGCCCTCGGCTCCTGGGGAGCCACTGGGGAGGGGGAGGCCTCACTTCCGAGAGACACCTGCGACCATAAATAGGCAGCCCGGGGAGGCAGCAGCGCAGTGCAGCCTCAGAGCAGCCACGCCAGCCACCTGCGCCAGGATGCCCGAGGCCATGCTGCCCGCCTGCCTCCTCGGCCTGCTGGCCGTCACCTCGGCTTGCTACTTCCAGAACTGCCCCCGGGGCGGCAAGAGGGCCGCGTCCAACCTGGAAGTGAGAGAGGTATGACCGACCTGGCCGTCTCGGGTCTCGGGGCTGCTGAGGGGCAGAGTCTCAGGCTCACACCGAGGGGGCCAAGGGGCCGGGGCTGGGAAAGAGGGAGGAGGTGGGAGAGCAGGGCCTGGGGGAAGTGCCAGCAGAAGCAGGTTGGGCATGGCCAGGCTGCCGCTGGGCAGGGTAGGTTGGGCTGCGGGGTCTGGACACTGTCCCCTCCTGGGCAAGGTCTGCAGGAGAGAGAAGTGGTTCCCTGCATTGCACCTGGGGCTGAATCCGGGAAAACTGGGCATCAAGGTCTCCTCCGTGGTCCAGGCCTCCCGGGTCCTCCCTCCAGGCCTGGCCAGAGCAGAGGAGGGGCTGTGACTCAGTGTCCACAGCCCCCCCTATCCAGCGTTTCCTCGCCACGGCCCCTGCACCCCCTCCAGAAGATGCCTTGCTCTGAGCTCCCCTGAGCGGGGAAGCTTCCAGGCAGCCCGCCAGGAAGTCCTGCTGGGTACCGAGCCCACTTCCCTCATGCTTCGTGTCCGGGGGAGTCCTTTATTCCCTTTCAGCAAAGCTGAAGGAAACCCAACCACCCCACAGTCAGTTCTGCTCAGGCCACGGGGTGTGTGTGTGTGTGTGCGCGTGTGTGTTCACTTTTGAGCTGTTGAAATGGGTAGGCGGGCAGCCCACAGACTACCCTTCCCTCCGCTTGGCCTCGTTGGGGCCCGAGTCCCGCAGGTGTCTCACCACCGAGTCTCAGGCCCTGGCGGTCTGGTTAGTGCTCGGGCAGGTGAGGGAGGCCAGGTCCCCCGGGGAGGCCCAAGGAGCCGGCAGGAGGGGCTGGGATGGCGCCTAGGCCAGGGCAGGGAAAGCGCCCCAAGGGCCGCCAGTGGTCAGGAGGGGTCGCAGCCTGGGGCCTGGGACAGGTGCTGCAGACAGGCCTGAGCCGCGGGCACAGGATGAAGATCTGTCTTCGGGGAGAGGTGGTGGGTGCCAAGGTGCCACACGGGGGTGCTCCCAGCTGAGAAGGGTCTCCCCGAGCTGCAGCCGGCAGGAGCGCCCCCTCAACAGGGAGGGAGCCTGCTGCGGGCTCATTGCGAGGGGTCTTCAGCCGCCTGAACTGGGGAAATGGAGCGAGTTTAGGAGAGTTTGGCTGCAGTTCTGGGAAGGCTTCTGGGTCCAAAGCCGAGCCCCAGGGGCCCAGAAGCTCGGGCGCGCCTCTGCCCGGCCTCCCAACCTCCGCCCCAGCCTCCCTGCCTGGCTCGCCCACCCGCCTCGCGCCCCCCACCTGCCCGTGCCCCCACCTGCCCGTGCCCCCACCTGCCCGCGCCCCCACCTGCCCGCGCCCCCCACCTGCCCGCGCCCCCACCTGCCCGCGCCCCCCACCTGCGCGTGCCCCCACCTGCGCGCCCCCCACCTGCCGCGCCCCCACCTGCCCGCGCCCCCACCTGCGCGTGCCCCCACCTGCGCGCCCCCCACCTGCCCGCGCCCCCACCTGCCGCGCCCCCCCTGCGCGCTCACCCCGCCGTCCCGCCAGTGCCTACCCTGCGGCCCCGGAGGCAAAGGGCGCTGCTTCGGGCCCAGCATCTGCTGCGCGGACGAGCTGGGCTGCTTCGTGGGCACGGCCGAGGCGCTGCGCTGCCAGGAGGAGAACTACCTGCCGTCGCCCTGCCGCTCGGGCCGCAAGCCGTGCGGGAGCGGGGGCCGCTGCGCCGCCGCCGGCGTCTGCTGCAGCCAAGGTGCGCGGCGCGGGGCGCGGGAGGCCGGGGCGGGCGGGGTGGGCGGGCGGCCTGGGGTCCCGGCGAGTCTGGTCCCGGCGGATCTGGGGCGCCCGCGGGCTCGCCGCCCGCACCCCGCGCTCAGACCCGCCCCCCGCAGAGAGCTGCTCCGCCGAGCCCGAGTGCGACCCGAACCCCGGCGTCCGGCGCGGCGCCCTGGCCGGCGACCCCAGCAACGCGACGCGGCTGGACGGGCCCGCGGGGACCCTGCTGCGGCGCCTGGTGCAGCTGGCGGCGGAGCCCCTGCAGCCCGGCGCCTACTGAGCGCCCCCCGCCCCCCGGCCCCCCCGGCCCCCCTGAGAAATAAACCTTCCCGCGCTGGCCGGCGTCTGTCTCCGTTTCGAGGAGGGAAGGGGAGGCGCGGAGGGGGGTGCGGACCCCTGACTCCCAGCCCCGGGCTCTGGGCGGACCCCCTGGAGGACCGCAGCCCCCGGGGAAGCCGCGCTCGGCCGCGGAGCTCTGGGAGGGCGCGGGGGCCTGGGCGGGGCGCCCGGGGCGGGGGGGGGGGGAGGCGGGAGACGCTGGTGAACAGGCCCGAGAGACCGGGACGCAGGGGAGACTCTGAGTGGCAGAAGGGGACGCGCCAAGGGGTGGCCCCGAGACCCTGTCCCCCCTTACATCCCGGGAGGCGGCGGCACCGCAGACGCCCAGATCCCCAGCCCTGTCGGTCGGGGAGGGGCCGTGACCCCAGAGCCGCAGAGAAGGGGGGGGTCTTCTCAGGCCCAGGCGGAGCCTCCACATCCACTCCCACCCCTCAGTCAGAGGGCCAGGCCGCCGGCGGCCCCCCCAACCCCACCCCCGAGGCTGGCGGCGAGGCTGGAGACTCGGACACGGGCCTGAGACACACGCTGAGTCACAAATGCACCCAGAGAAACAGACACAGGAGACTCCACGGGGAGGTGTGCGCACACACGCGTGCACACACACGCGCGCACACACACGCGCGCACACACACGCGCGCACACAGTGATTCCAGTGCACAGGCCGCCGCGCACAAACCACCTCAGGGCGCAGGTGTCCTGAGCGTCCGGTGGCGGCTCCGGTCCTCTGTCCCCGCGGTCCCGGCTCTCCCGGCCGCGCCTTCATCCTCTGCGGCCCACGGGTCCCCCTGTCCTGCCCCCCCAGCTCCTGGGCTCTCTCCCGAGTCTCTCTCTGCCCCCACCTCTCCCCCTTGCCTTTTCTGCCCCCCACCCGTTACCTCGTCTCCTCTCTCTGCCCTTTCTCTTCTTTGCCTCTTCTTGGGTTTCTGGCTCCAGGACGGGGCGCCAGAGGCTGCGTCTGCCCTGCAGCCCCTGCTGACGGGGGGCGCGGGGCGTGTGGGCCTGGAGAAGCCGCGCCCTGACCCCGCGCCCTGCCTGTGACTCAGCCTCAGTGGGCTCTGGCCAGGTCAGGCCGCCGAGGGCAGGTCGCCTCCCTCGAGTCTTCCTGCAGCTCCGCCTTGCTGTCCCCGGCCCCTCACTGCCCCTCGTGATGAAGGCCCGTCGGGGAGGGGGCTCGGGATCCCATCGGCCGCCCCGCCCTGGTGTGCTGTCCCTGCCCTGTGTGGACGCGGGGACAAGGCCGCAGGCCCAGGGGAGCAGGGCCAGACCCGATCAGCCCCCCCAGAGAGGCAGGGGTGGTGGCCCTGCACGCAAGGCCTGGGCTGCGGTCCCGCAGGCCCCTCCTCCCCCGGGGCCAGGCGCTTCCACTCCTGGGAAAGGGCAAGCGTGGGCCCGACCCAAATCACAGCTCCCGGGATGCCGCGGGGTGGTGGGGGTACAGCTCCCGCTCCGTGAGCTCAGCCCCCCACTCGCAGGGAGCTTGTGCACGTGGGTGCCCCCCCGGGTCAGTACGGAGTGTGCAGCCGCCGCTGCACCTGTTCTTCCCGCGGGAAACTCTTGACCGTTGTTGCCCAGACCTCGTCCTCTGCCTGCACTCAGGACCACGGCTTTGTGTTGCATCGGGCTACGCTGTCAAGTCTGTCTTCTCTGCCTTAGATGCCTCTCACTTCTTATTTTCCCTTTCCTTTCTGTCCTTTGGGGCTTCCTCTGCTAGTCTTTCCCCAGCTTCTTGAGCTAAACATTAAGCTAATTAAAAAACAAACAAAAGCAGGAATCTAGAAAACTTAAATAAGGGACCAGGAAAATGAATATAAGAAAGTGAAAATCAAAATCAACAAAAAACTATGAACCAGAGACACTTTTTGGGGGGTGGGGGGCGGGAGGGGAAGGATTGGGGTCAGAATGGGGCGTTTGCAATTGTATGGGGGAATATAAAAATAAAATTTAATATTTAAAAAAAAAAAAAAAAAAAAACAAATTGCTGTCTTAGTTTCTGTGCTTCCCTGAAGCTGCACACTTCCCTCTGGGTCCTGCTTTCTTCCTTTTCACACTGAGTCTCCTCCTCCCCAGCTCTAAATAGTTGGTAATTTTTTTGATGATTGTCTCGTTAACCCAAGGGTTATTTTGTAATTAGCTTTTAGAGTGCAGGCCTGGATTTCCTTCAACTATTCTTCTGTTAACTTTAATTATATGCATGAAGGTCAGAGGACAGAGTCTGCATAATATTGACTCTGAAAATCATCTTCTTTTGTGTCAAGTTCACAGCTGACTTTTGTGAGTGTTTCCTATGTGCTTCCCCTAAATGCACACTTTCTCTAGCTGGGGTGTATGTATTTATGCGTTCAAATTTATTTATTTTTAAGAATTTTATTTTTTTAAAGATTTATTTATTTATTTATACAAGCACTGGGTACAGTCAGAAGCGCGGGAGGGTGAGAGAATTCACCAGAGCCAGAGCGGGGAGCAGAGCAGGCAGAAGGACCAAAGTACACTGCTGAGGGGAGCAGTGGGTGGCAGGAGAGGTCTGCGCGCCATGCGGGACCCTCCTCAGGTGGCCGGGGAGCAGCCGGGGATCGAACCGGAGCTGCAGAGGCCGTGGGCAGCTTCGCAACCCAGCGCTCAACCGCTGCGCCACCGGGGAGGCCCTACGTATATATTTTAATATCTAGCTTGCTCCATTTTTTATTTAAAGGCTCTTTTCCTGTTTCTTTTTCTTTTTGTATTTAAGGTATGATTACCATATGGTAAAATTCTTTTAAATATACAGTTCTATGAGTTTTTTGTTATTCATCATTAAATTTTTAAAGATTTATTTATTTATTTATGCATAGAAGAACTGGGGTGTAGGCCAGAGGTGTGGGGGAGGGGTGAGAGGCTTCACCAGAGACAGAGTGGGGAGCAGGACAGGCGGCTAAGTGTATTTCAGTACATTCACAGTACTGCACTGTGCTTACTGACACAAGTTTATGTCATCTCTGTATGAGAAAGTTTTCTAAGTGGGGGCCTCCCTGGTGGCAGATGAGGTAGGAGAAGCTGGGGCGTGGCTTCTCAGTGCTATTAAGTCACCTGAGTTCGACCCGGCCAGGGAGGTGACCCACATGGTGGTGCAGACCTCTCCTGTCTCACCCACTGCTCCCCTCAGCAGTGTATTTCAGTAGATCTGCCTGTTCTGCTCCCCACTCTGTCCCTGGTGAATCCTCTCACCCCCTGCACCTCTGGTCTACACCCCAATTCTTGTATGCATAAATAAATAAAAAAAAGTTCTCTAAGTGAGTCCACACAGCTTAAATGTGTGTTGTCCCAAGGTCAACTGTAGGAAGTCTGGGAATTAGACTGTGTGACTCTTCCAACTTTGTCCTTTTTCAAAGCCGTCTTTGACCATTTTAGTTCCTGTACCTTTCATGTCAATTTTAGAAGCAATTCAATGATTTCTATCAAGAAAAACCCTTGTGCGATTGTGATTGGAATTATGTTGAATCTACAGATCAGTTTAGGGAGAATTGAAATCTTCACTACGAGGAGGCTTCTGAGCAATAAACAGTGTCCCATTACCCGGGTCTTCCCCTACTCATTTACTTATTTTGTGAGCATTTAACCGTTTCCGGCACACAAATCTGGTGCATAATCCACAGAACATGAACTATTCAGGCACTACGTATAACGTGTTTGCTATACGTCACTCCATACAATGTATTTGTTGTACGTAGCTGTCCTCATCAGATGGCTTTATTGTGTGTGTGTCGCTAGTACATAAAGCCTGTTGAGTTACATATTAAAGCAATATTATTTTACAACATTGCCTTCTTTTTCTCTGCGTTACTAAGCCTAGTCTTGTGTCGGGCAGGCAGGCATGTTATCCAGGAATCTCACTTCTGGGTGGTGATGTGGGCTCACAGAGTACCAAAGTTGGGGGGCGGGGACTAGAGGTTTGTAGGGTCATTCCATAAGGACCAAAGACCGTGGGACTGAGCAAGGAAGGAGGATGGAGGATGATGGAAACCTCACTTCTGCGCAGGGCTGGCCGCTGCCGGGGACACTCTTCCCTTTCCCCCACCCCGCACCCCGGCTTCTCCTAGCTCATCTGCAGTAGATGACAATGTAGGGTAATACGCTGACTATAATGTCATGTATGTGTTTACATACATGCATCCATGCTGCCTGGGAGGGGACGGCACAGTCAGACCTGTGTTGTTTTTTATTAAAGATTTTTTTATTTATGCATTCAAGAACTGGGGTACAGGGGCCTCCCTGGTGGCGCAGCAGCTGAGCACTGGGTTGCCAAGCTGCTCACAGCCTCTGCAGCGCCGGTTCAATCCCCGGCTGCTCCCCAGCCACCGGAGGAGGGTCCCACATGCTGTGCAGACCTCTCCTGCCGCCCGCTGCTCCCCTCAGTCCTTCTGCCTGTTCTGCTCCCCGCTCTGGCTCTGGTGAATTCTCTTGCCCTCCCGTGCTTCTGACTGTACCCAGTGCTTGTATAAATAAATAAAATAAATCTTTTTTTTTTTTTAAAAAAAGGCCTGCCAGCCTCCCAGCCCCCCAGCCAGCACCCCTGCTTGCCACGTACCCGCTGAACCCCAATAAAAAACCTGCAAAACCACTGAGGACTCTGACTCCTCCTTTACCTGGTCTGCATGGGATCAGAAAACCTGCACTGTGGCCTGTCCTGCCCCCACACCCCTTGTGCCACCAGGGAGGCCCCAGGTCTGTGTTTTGAGGCTGGGAAATACTGCCTGGCGTTTGAAGGAAAGAATAGGGCAGTGGGTGGGTGTCTGAGAGGGTGAGGGGACCCTAAAGTCTGTCCCCAGGTGGGGAAACCTAGGCTGATCCCTCAGCTCTGCGTGAGCCAGAGTGTTGTAGAGCAAATGAGTTAAAAATCTGACTTTTTGTGCCCTCTCGCCATTAGCATCTATGACCAACACCTGCAGACCTGCACGTGCACCTTAGGGCGCAGCACGCAGGGGGCATGCGCATGTGTAAATGGAGACACCTGAGCCGAGGGCACGGGACTATGGGGCAGCATCCCTCTGCCCGGGGCCTGCAGATGAGAGGAGACAGCCAGGGAAGTTCTGAGAAAGCTGGTCTGTGCCCCGATTCAGCATGAAGGCCTGGGCGAGTCCACCGAAGTCTCCAAAGCTACCTTTGCATCTGGAGCACTGACCGTGGACCTCCAGAGCTACCTCGGATGGTAGCAAAACAGGCGTCCAGGACACGCCGGGGAGAGCAGCCGGCTGGGGGTGAGGGCTGGGGGTGAGGGGTGTGGGGGGGGGTTGTTCTGCACGTCCCGCTGGTCCGGCAGGGGGCGCCCAAGCGTGGAGAAGGCACACATCTGCAGCTGCGTTGCTGTCTGGAGAAAGCGGGGTTCCTGCCGCGGCTTACCCTTTTGTTCTGTGCGGGACCTAAGACCTCTCGGGAACAGGCGTGGATGACTCACCGTGTCCGTCCGGCCTTCCCCAGAGCTGATTTGAATAGGACTCCTCCGCCTTGAGCACCTCTTGTTCCTTCCCCTCCTCGCCCCCAGATGTGGCTCATAGGAGGGTCACCCCACGCCCCCCAGCGTAGGTTGCTCTTGGCCACTGGGGCTTTCAATAGCCTCATCTCTATTCTCTTCATACCGCTTAGTGATGTTGGGCACAGGAGGAAACCCCCCACCTCTTTGGGGTCTCCTGAGGCCGGATGAATGAGCAAATCAACTTCGGTTAGATTAGTGGGAGAAAAAGATGGATGGCGCAGCGTGTGTACTTACAGGACTAAAATCTAAAATAAGTGGGGCCACCAGGGGTTCGTGTCCTGTGTTCAGGGACCTGGGCCATCAAGCTAAGAGGAGGGGGGCTGACTTCATGTTTATTCTAAGGGTAAAAACATGGGGTTCCCAGATAGAGAGTACATGTTCACTGATGAACTGGTACCTAGATGACACCCCAAACGTATTTTTCTAGGGCACGGGGGTCACACTTCCTTAATTAGAAGGGGGCAAAGGCTTAGCGAGCGATGGTCTCTGATGAGGGGAAGGGCAAGGAGAGCACCTCGTGTGACAGGGCAAACCCCCCTATGAAATGGGGTTGCCTGACTGGGGGTCCTCACCCGCGCGCTTGAAGGGGACTTACTGATGCTGAACTGCAGACGCACACGAAGCTTGATGAAAGGTTTATTTACAAGGGCGGGGGAAATGGGGAAACGAGTAACTCAGGGAGACAAGAGGGAGATGAGTGTGTAAATGTGTCCTGCCCGTTCCGCTGACCTGGGACCCCAATGACCCGCCGAGCTGGTGAAAAACCAGCAGGCCTGGAAGCCAAGAGGGGTACCCCCTACCCCACATGGCCCGTTACACACCCAAACCCAGAGCTTAGTTGCTAAACTCCGCCCTCAGGTCCCCGCAGCCTCCCCTGTGGTGATGATGGGAGTTGTGGTTCCCAGTGCGGTGGGGTGGAGTCCACAAGCCTGTGGGGGGTTTGCTCAGGACCCCCTTCCCCCCAACAATGGCTCTGAGCTGAAGCTAATCTGCATCTTCACTGTGATAGGAGTTGCTCTGAGACTCTTCATTCACCTTCGTTGCACACTAACAGGTGACACCTGTTGAAAAAGACCAACTTGGACATTTGGGGGAAAGCTACCTGACCCTTTGTGGGGAGACTAATCCCGCAATACCTCTTTTTTTTTTTTTAAAGATTTATTTATTCATACAAGCACTGGGTACAGTCAGAAGCATGGGAGGGTGAGAGAATTCACCAGAGCGGGGAACAGAACAGGCAGAGTGACGAAATACACTGCTGAGGGGAGCAGCGGGCAGCAGGAGGGGTCTGCGCGCCATGCAGGACCCTCGCCCGGTAGCTGGGGATCGAACCGGCGCTGCAGAGGCTGCGGGCAGCTTCGCAGCCCAGCGCTCAACTGCTGTGCCACCGGGGAGGCCCCCGCAATACCCCTTAGTAATAAAATCTTTCATTAAAAAAAAGTTTATTCCAGTATAAAGCATACAGAGAAGTGAACAAACCACATGTACGCAGTTTGATGAATTTTCGTAACATTTTATTTTACCAAAGCCTGTTTCCTCAACTTCCAGGCCAAGAAGCCGAACGACCAACACCCCAGCAGCCCCCATCACCCCTTCCAGTCACCCCCCCCAAGACCCCGAGCAACTAGCTTAGTTTTGCCAGTTTTTATAATTTATATGAAGAGCATGGTAGAGTCCTCTCAAGTGTATCTTTCCTCCCCATCGGAGCCCCACATCGAGCAGGGCGTGGTGCTGTGAGAAAGGCCTGGAAAAGACATTTTACGAATCCCTGACAGAGGCCCTGTTCCCGTCATCTGGGGTGTGAGTGTGAGCTCGGGCCAGGGCGGGCCTGCCCAGGGCACGGGCCAGGCAGTGAGGGGCTGTGGGGGGAGGGGAATCTGGCGTTTATTGATTCCCAAAGGCTCAGGCAGGAGCAGGCGAGAGCGGGGTGGCGGGGAGCTGCCGGCATGCTTTCTATTTGCTTGGTCACTTCTGTGGCCGTGGGCTCTCGGGAGCCCCTGTCCCACCAGGCCCAGGGCCCCTCACATTTCTTCGCTGTTGGGCAGGAGCAGGAGCAGGAGCAGGAGCAGGCCTGCTGGGTTTTCCCCGCAGGGTTTGCCCAGGACTCCTTGACCCACCCACAGGCAGCAGGCGAGGGACTCGAGTCGCAAGTTCCTCACGTCGAGGGCCCCGTATCCCCGGCTTGGCCACCGCTTTTGAGCACCAGTGGCCCCCTGTGACCTGGCAGCCCAGTTCCTTGGAAACTGGGAGACGTCCCCTCCCCCAGCCCTGGCCTCAGGCGCGCTCAAGCCTCCCCCCGGGGCTCGGGAAGTCCTTCCCTGCCGCTGGCCCCCTCCCCTGCCCGGGTCCCGCCAGGACAGCAAGCCCCGTCTTCTGCCGCCCCACGGCTGCTTTGCGGGTGAGGCCGCAGGCCCTTTCCATCTCCAGTCGGCCCCGGGCGCCACCCCCGTCCCGCGCGCCCCCCGCGGCCTGCGGCTGGGGAACAGTCCCCCCCCCCCCGCCCCCGCCCCCGCCCCGCCCCCGCCCCGCCGGGCCTGCTGATCGCCGACCCCTGCTGCGAACTGCCCGGAGCTGGAGCCCAGCTGGGCGCGATCTTCTCACCCCGAGACCCGCCCAAACCATTTCTCACACCGGACGAGGCTGGAGGCAAAAGGTTCCGCTTTATTTTATGTTCATGGTCGCGGGGGCGGCTACGGGGGCGCGAAGGGGGCGCCTCTGGCTCAGCGCTGGGGGAAAGCGGCCTCGGGGTCGCAGGCGGGGTCCACGCGGCAGCCGTCTGGGGGGAGAGACGGGGTCAGGGGCTGCCCGGCGGGTCTCCCGGCCCCCGCCCGCCCCCGCCGCCCCCGAGGCTCACCCGGGCTGCAGCAGACGCCGGCGGCGGCGCAGCGGCCCCCGCTCCCGCACGGCTTAAGGCCCGAGCGGCAGGGCGACGGCAGGTAGTTCTCCTCCTGGCAGCGCAGCGCCTCGGCCGTGCCCACGAAGCAGCCCAGCTCGTCCGCGCAGCAGATGCTGGGCCCGAAGCAGCGCCCTTTGCCTCCGGGGCCGCAGGGTAGGCACTGGCGGGACGGCGGGGTGAGCGCGCAGGGGGGGGCGCGCGCAGGTGGGGGCGCGGCAGGTGGGGGCGCGGCAGGTGGGGGCGCGGGCAGGTGGGGGCGCGGGCAGGTGCGGGGGTGCGAGGCGGTGGGCGAGCCAGGGAGGGAGGCTGGGGCGGAGGTTGGGGGCCGGGGTTCCGGGCAGAGGCCGCCGGAGCGTCCGGGCCACTGGGGCTCGGCTCTGCCCCCCAAAGCCGTCAAAGGGCGGGAGTCAGAGCGCACGGAACGCCCGTGGGATGGGGCCGGGCTGGGGCGCCGCGGGGCGAGCGCGAGGAAGGGGCGCCCGCGGGTCCCCCGCACCCGGAGCCCCGAGGGCCGCGGCTCACCTTGCGCACGTCGAGGTCCAGCGCCGCCCTCTTGCCGCCCAGCGGGCAGTTCTGGATGTAGCAGGCCGAGGCGAGCGCCAGGAGGCCGAGCAGGCAGCAGGCGAGGCGGGGGCCGGCCATGGTGCGCTGCGCGGGCGGCCGGGCTGTCGGGGTCGGGCGGGCCGGGCTGTCGGGGTCGGGCGGGCCGGGCTGTCGGGGTCGGGCGGGCCGGCTTTTTATGCCCCGGGCCGCGGGGCTGGAGACTGGCTAAGAGCGCGGCCGCATGGCTGGTCACGGAGGGCCGCCGCGGTCAGGCTGGTGCGCCCCGTGCGCCCCTCATTTGCAGGGGCGGGCTCGGGTCAAGGTCACGCGTTGGCTAATGGGCTGCGCCGAGGGAGCAGACGGTCAGGCGGGCGCCGCGAGCCTGTGGGGTGTCCTGTGCCCCTGGGGTGGAACGGAGAGTGTGTGGGGGGTGCAGTGGCGCCTCATCTGGGAGTGGGGGTGCGGGGTCGGCCAGGGGGCCCCCCCGGGCCCTAAGAGGCGCCGGGACAACACCCTTTCCACCTTCTTGGTCTGCCACCCAGGCACCCTTATCCCTGCTGTTAAGAAGGTGCCCGCTTCCCGAACCCCAGTTTCCTGGAGTCCACGCCACACCAACACCCACTGCCCTGCACGGAGAACTCGCATGGGAAAAGATCTTTTCTCTAACTTCTAACTGAATTTAGCATTTCTTTCCCCTGTGAGGTGGGCAACAAAGCCTGTGGGGCCGGAGACATTTAAGGCTTTGTCACCAACGGAAATGGCAGGTGTCCTCAGGCCTGTTTTAAAAAAACATTTATGCCTACAAGAACTGGGGTGCAGCCCAGCGGTGGGGGGGTGAGAGGATTCACCAGAGGCAGAGTAGGGAACAGAACAGGCAGCCTGGCTGTTCTGCTGAGGGGAGCAGCGGGCGAGACAGGCGCAGCTCCCGGCGGGCAGGGATGGCACCCGCTGCAGAGGCTGGAGTCCGCCTGCCAGCGCTGTCTTTCACCCGGCGCCACCAGCAGGGCCCTGTCCTCAGGACCACTGCAGCTGTCCCCGGATGTCATCACAGGCGCGCAGCACTTTGGAACCACGGCGGTGCTGGTCCCGCCTCTAGGTCCTATCAGTGCTCTAGGTAAAGAAGCACGTCGGTGACTCTGTCGTGACTTTGTTCTTACATTTTGATTCCTGAAGAGAAATCTAATTGATTTCTTGGTAATCAGTGTCCTTTGCATTTAAAAAGGATGGGGCTTTGGGGGACATTTTTAATATGTCTCAAAAGGAAAATAATTAAAAGTAAGAAAGAGGTTGTACTGGTGAAAGGAGAGTGGGTTACCCCGAACAACAGCTGCCCAGGGGGGATCTCTCTTCAAGAGGGGGCTTCCCGCTCCCCTGCTGGCAGTGTGGTCAGCACTGGGCCCCATCAGGGTCTGTCTCAGGTGCTGAGACCCCACCCACCCCGGCCCAATATTATCCACTTCCCAGCTTGTCCACATCTCTGACCTGTCCACTTTGGCCCAATGCGGGACGACTGTGAAGGACTATTTCAGCTGGACAGCCCTGTGGGGACAGCAGAGGCCAGCATGGAAGTCCTCCCTCTGCCCCCTCCTCACTGGCGTGGGTCCGAGTCCTCGGTAATGGACAACCTGGGGACCCTAACTTGGAATAGAGGGAAGGAACAAGGCCAATGTCAGAACAGACCCTGCTGGGTCAGTTCCTCAATGTCACCCCTGGAGAGAGGGGCTGGAGGGCCCTCACCTCTCCTGCACTCCTGCTGACCCTCCTGGAGGAGGCTGCTGGGCTGCGCGGGCCCCAGGACCTCGTTGCCTGAGTCACTGGTGCGAGCTGCCCTCGCCGGCTGACCTGCATTACTGGTCAGTGGCCGTTCTCGTTTCTCATCCAAATCAGCTCATTGGCGCTGCAGGGCTAGACGACCGAGGGCCTGACCTCAGCGGCCTGTGCTGTGGACACAGTGACCTCAGCCAAGTCAACACGTGCACATACATCCCCTTAAGCACAGTGATGTCGGGGCCGGTGCTACTCCCTCTGTCCATCAACTTGGCTGAGGGGGCACCGGTCTCAGTACAGATGCCTGGAAACTTCCTTAGCCAAACAGACAGAAGTCCTGGCACTCAGGGGCTTGTATTCTAGTGGAGGGACAGGGAGAGGTACTGAGCAACAATCACATGTCAGTAGGTGAGGAGGCAGCAAGTGCTATGGAGGAAAAGGGGGTGCTCTTGCACTTTAGGGTGTTCAGTGGCAGCTGCTTTGTGAAGATGTTCTCTATCACTTGGAGGGCGAGGAAAAAGGCATGTGGCTATCTGACAGGGAGTCGTTTTCTATTGCTGCGTAACAAATCACCACACATTTAGTTGTTATCCCTCAGCTTCTGTGGGTCAGGAGGCTGGCCAGGTCTCAGCAGGATATTGGGGGGCGTGTGTGTGAGTGTGTGCACGCGCATGCGCTGTAGTTCGGGTGCCAATAAGGCCACACTCCCTTCTGAGCCCAGGAGACTGTGGGCAGAAGTCAATTCCTTGCAGCTGTAGAACTTAGCGTGGCTTGTTTCTTCAAGACCAGCAACAGAGACCTTCAAGTCTCCAAGTCCCACGAAGCCTTTTACAAAGGCTCGCCGGATTAGGCCAGGCCCACCAGCATTATCATCCTTTTAACTCAGTGTCAGACTGATCAATTTGGATAGTTGGGCCTTCATTACCGCTGCAAAATTCCTTTACCTTGCCGGGTAATATAACCATGGAAGTGGCAGCCCATCCCTTTTGCCATATTCTTCTAATGCTTAGAAGAAAGTTACAGATCCTCCCCATTGCTACAGGAGATGACACAGAGGTGTGGATGCAGGAGGTGGGAGTCACGGTGGCCATCTTAGATTCTGCCTCCCAGGGAGGTGGAATATTCTAGGCAGAGAAAATGGCAAGTGCAAAGGTCCTGAGGCAGGACTGTCCAGCATGTTCAGGGAACAACAGTGCAGCCACTGGGCCTGGGGAGTGACTGAAGTCCCGAGGTCAGAACGGCGATGTGGGACGGGGTCACTGGGGGCCTCCATTTCAGGAGGAATGAGAGAGGGTTTGGAGCAGAGGAGGAACGTGATTAGGTTTATGTATTACTAGGCGGTGGCCAAGGGGGAGTCGGAGAGGCCTCTGCAGCGAGACAACGGCCGAGGTGGGAGGAGTTTGCTCCCGGGCGGGTATGGGTGAGAGGAAAGAGGAATGAAAACACCTCTGAGGCTTTGGCCGGGGCAGGGGGAAGGCCTGAGCTGCCTCCTACTCCTCCTGAGTCCCAAGTCCCTCATCATCCAGCCAGACCCCTAGCTACCTGTCGTGAAGGTGATGTTTCTTGTGGAGCAGTAGCTGATTTCATTGCTTTCTGATGTTCTACTGCCTGCAGTTGCTTATTCCATCTGACTGTTAACGGGCATCTGGCTGGTTTCCGGTTTGGGGCTGTTACGAATAGTGCCCCTTTGCAATGTGTCTGAACAGTGATGTATGGAAATATGTGGACTCGCGGCGTGGAAATACTGGGTCACGTGGTGTATATATGTTCCGGTCAGTGATGCTGCCAGTTTCCAAGGAGTTGTACCGACTCGCATCCCTCCAGCATGTACGGATGTTCCCTTGGCGCCAGAGTCACTGGGTAAAGCCGTTCTTTTAAATTCTAGTATTCTAGTGGGTGTCTATCCCATGGTTTTAATTTAAATTTCTCCAGTAACAAATGGCCAAGTACCCTAGCAGTTTTATTGGATAATCGCATAGCTTCTCTTGTGGTTTCCTCCTGGCTCACTTGTCTTTCTGAATGGATTTGCAGGCTTTCATTTTCTGTTTTGGCCAGGAGTCCTCTGTGGGGTGGACATGCTATGCATTTTTTTTTAAGATTTATTTATGCATACAAGACCTGGGGTACAGGCCAGAGGTGCGGGGGGTGGTGAGAGTATTTACCAGAGACAGAGTGGGGAGCAGAACAGGTGGATTGACTGAAATACGCTGCTGAGGGGAGCAGCGGGCAAGGCAGGAGAGGTCTGCTGCGCCATGTAGGTAGCTCCCTGGCTGGCAGGGATTGAACTTGTCCTGCAGAGGCTGTGGATAGCTTCACAGTGCTGTGAAGGTTAAACCCCCTTTTACATTTTTGAGGGTTCTGTCCCAGTCTTGGCTTCACAGGTTAAACCCCCTGTGTTTAACCCCCTTGTGTTTAACCCCTGTGTTTAACTCCCCACCAGGGTGGCCCCCATGTTGTGCATTATAATAATGAACGTTTGACCCACTGGGATCTTTGCGAGGCACTAATTAGTTGTGGCTCCCCGAGATCCCACTCGTTCTGTCTGGTCAGAAACACTCCTTTTTTTTTTTTTTTAACATTTATTTATTCATGCATACAAGAGCGGGGTACAGGCCAGACACGCGGGAGGGTGAGAGGATTCACCAGAGACAGAGCGGGGAACAGAACAGGCAGACTGATGAAACACACTGCTGAGGGGAGCAGCAGGCGAGACAGGAGAGGTCTGCCTCACCATGTGGGAATCTCCCTGGCCAGCTGGGAATCGAACCCACGCTGCAGAGGCTGCGGACAGCTTCATAGCGCTGCACTCAACCACCTGCGCCACCAGGGGAGGCCCAGAAATACTCCATTTGTGGTGACCGGGACCTAAGCTGAGCCAGGGCACGATCACACTCTCGTTCCCATTTAGCCTTAACAAGGAAGGAGGTTCTGACACTGACTCAAGCTACAACATCGATGGACTTTGAAGGCGTGAGGCTCACTAGGCAAGCCAATCACAAAAAGACAAATATCTGCGTGATTCCACTTATAAGAGGTGTCCAGAACAGCCAAGGTCATAGAAACAGAAAACAGGAAGGTGTTATCCGGGCTTGAGGATGCAGTGAGACCTGGGCTGGTTTGATTTCCTGGGTAATGGCATTCTGGTTATGTTGGGGGACGACCTTGTTCTGGAAAGGTACATATTTACGTAGAGACCGTGAAGTGTCATATTTGCAACTTATTTTGAGACATGAGAGAGAGTATAAATGCCTAGACAGCAGTTAATTTGAGGCAGTGTGGTTTTCGGGGAGACTGAGATAACAGCTGTCACCTTTACATTTTTGAGGGCTCTGTCCCAGCCTTGGCGAGACTGCCCTCTGCTGGACGTCCAGGGAGCTGCAGGGCAGACAGTGGCCTCCAGCCAACTATTCCTTCTGAATTTGGCAGAAAATTCTTGGTCTGTGTATGAGTTTGAAGGTATTTTTTAGTTGAATTAAAAACAATAAAGGGGGTCTTCGTGGTAGCGCAGGGGTTAAAGACAGCGCTCTCAAGCTATCCGCAGCCTCTGCAGCACAAGTTTGATCCCTGGTCAGCCAGGGAGCAACCCACATGGCGCAGCAGACCTCTCCTGTCTCGTCCCTGCTCCCCTCAGCAGTGTATTTCAGTAGATCTGCCAGTTCTGCTCCCCACTGTCTCAGGTGAATCCTCTCACCCCCCCTACACCTCTGGCCTGTACCCCAGTTCTTGTACACATAAACAAATCAATCTTTAAAACAACAACAAGGGCCTCCCCGGTGGCGCAGCGGTTGAGCGCTGGGTTGCGAAGCTGCCCGCAGCCTCTGCAGCGCCGGTTCGATCCCCGGCTGCTCCCCGGCCACCGGAGGAGGGTCCCACATGGCGAGCAGACCTCTCCTGCCGCCCGCTGCTCCCCTCAGCAGTGTACTTCGGTCCTTCTGCCTGTTCTGCTCCCCGCTCTGGCTCTGGTGAATTCTCTCACCCTCCCGGGCTTCTGACTGTACCTAGTGCTTGTATAAATAAATAAATAAATCTTAAAAAAAATTTAAAAAAAAAAAAAAAACAACAACAAAACCAATAATGGCAGGGCACATGTTTTAAGCACTTTCTGTGTCTCAAGTACTGAACTTAGTTTTACATGAATGTCTCATTTCATCACCACAGTGGACACACGTTGTCCCTATTTTACTTTTGAGACAGACATAGAGACTAAGGTATGTTTCAAGGTCTCCCAGATAGTAGGAGGGGGGCTGGGGTTCTCTGCAGGCAGATGGCACCAGGAATGTAACCAGGAGTCACGTAGCCTCTCACAGTATTTTTTTAAAAGATTTTAAAATTTTATTTATTTATGCATACAAGAGCTGGAGATCAGAGGTGTGGGGTGTGTGTATGTGTGTGTGAGGATTCACCTGAGACAGAGTGGGAAGCAAAACAGGTGTATCTACTGAAACTCACTGCTGAGGGGAGCAGTGGGTCAGATAGGAGAGGTCTGCTGCGCCATTTGGGTCAGCTCCCTGGCCGGGTATTGAACTTGTGCTACAGTGGTTGCCGACAGCTTCAGTGCTGAGACTTAACCCTTTGTGCCACCAGGGAGGCCCCCCTCTCACAGCAATTTAACTTTTTCATAAATTTCAGGGCTGAAGCAGTGAGTGGAGGAATCATGTGAATATCTCTACCTCCCTTGGAGATTTTATATGAAGTCTTATTTCTATTTTTTTAAAGATTTATTTCATGCATACAAGAGCTGGGATACAGGCCAGAGGTGTGGGGGGTGAGAGGATTCACCAGAGACAGAGTGGGGAACAGAATGGGCAGATTGACCAAAATACACTGCTGAGGGGAGCAGCGGGTGAGGCAGGAGAGGTCTGCTGCGCCATGTGGGTTGCTCCCTGGCCAGCCGGGGATCGAACTCATGCTGCAGTGGCTGCAGACAGCTTCATTAGGTTGCATCTTAACCCCTTGTGCCACCAGGGAGGCCCAAAGATTCATTTATTTATGCATACAAGAACTGGGGTACAGGCCAGAGGTGTGAGGGGCGAGGATTCACCAGAGACAGAGTGGGGAACAGAACAGGCAGATTGACCTAAGTACACTGCTGAGGGGAGCAGTGGGTGAGGCAGGAGCGGTCTGCTGCGCCATGTGGGTAGCTTCCTGGCTGGGGATTGAACTCGTGTTGTAGGGGCTGCGGACAGCTTCATAGGTTGCATCTTAATCCCTTGTGCCACCAGGGAGGCCCTGAAGTCTTATTTCTATTACCAACTCAAAGGGGCCAGGAAGCCACGAAGTGTGATTTTATTTATTTACATATATATATATATTCATTTTAGAAGGACAGGTGTATTAGGAAAAGGAGAAAAAAAGAGAGGCACCTGCATAGTCACAGGCGGGCAGGAAGCTGCCGCTTGTTTTGCAAAGGGAGTTTTTTAAAGATTTATTTATGCATAGAAGAATTGGGGTACAGGCCACAGGTGCGGGGGTGAGAGGATTCACCAGAGACAGAGTGAGGAGCAGAACAGGTAGATGTACTGAAATACACTGCTGAGGGGAGCAGCGGGCAAGACAGGAGAGGTCTGTCGTGCCATGTAGGTCACCTCCCTAGCCGGGGATCAAACTGGTGCTGCAGTGGCTGCCGATAGCTTCATAGTGCTGTGACTTAACCCCTTGCGCCACCAGGGAGGCCCCTGCAAAGGGAGGCTTGTGAAGAAAAACACCTGCATAGTCACAGACCAACAAAGTGTCCAAGAGGTGTGATTTAATCAGCCTGTCACTCTCAAATCAGTCTTCCCCTTGACAGTAGTGATAAATGTCGGAAGATTATCCACAAACACTGACCTAAACTTTGCCTGAAATACTAGAACTTCGTTACTTAATTTTTTCCTCCTAAGTGCGGGTCACAATGAGTAGCAATAAAATATTCAAAGGGACAAAGAAAACAAGACCCTGACAAGCCTAATAAATGATGAAAGGGATATAGCACTGTTCAGGAAAATGGTGGCAGAGGCACAGCAGCTCGGGCTCAGGGAAACATCTCTTCGACCCTATCCTAGGCTTCATGGCCTGCATGCGAGTATGGGCCATGGATGTGTGCTCGCCTATTCAGCTTTGTGAACTTTATCCCAAGTACCTCCATTGCCCACAGGGCTTGACAAGGCCACTCTTGGTTTAGTCAAGAGTAAATCCTTTGTCAACCAGGGCGACTCAACCCTGCCAGCACCAATCTGGTCAGTGGTCCAAGGAAGCTGGGAGTGCCAGGCAGATGCTGGGACTGAGGCCATGGGTGGAGAGGGTCACTGGAAGAAGTGTGGTCTCCTGGCTTTCTGTGGGCACCACCTTTGCCAGCAAAGTCCAGGATCAAGCAGAAGCAGGTCTTTGGCCAGTGGTTAGCTTGTGTCTCAGGTACCAAGTGTTACCAGCTCCTGCCTGGAGCCCTAAAACTCTAGATCAGACGTCAGCAAGCTCCTTCCATGTAACACCACTTAACAAATTATTTTAGGCTTTGCAAAGTAGAGTAGATGGTCTCTGCTGCAACAACTCATCTCTGTTGTAGCATGAAAGTAGTCAACAACTGGGTATGGAAATGTTGCAATAAAACTTTATAAGGACAGGCAGCAGGCCAATTTGGCCCATGGATTATAATTTGCCCTAGATGCTGCTCAGGAGGTGACCTGGCTGGCCGTGGCTCTGGCCCAGTCTGCTTCTCCGTGAGAGGGAAACTCTAGGGTCTGGTGGTGTGTTTAGAGCTGCACCCGGGGCAGAACAGGGTACTATGTGTGGGTATTTCCCATCAAGTGGTAAGTGCAGAGGACAGAAGTTTTAAGGGTCACAATGGAATAGGTTGAGCTTTTTTCATTGGAAACACCAACTACTTTATTCCAGATGAGGCCCAACCCTCCTCTCCCCATACACATGCGGTCCCTGGGCAGGTGTTCTCCTCACTGGGTCCCTAGGAACCCTTGTGCTGTGGCCTGACCACCTGCCCTTCTCTGGTGACCGCCCAGTTGTAGCTCTTCGGGGAGTCCAATGCTTCTTGAATTTTTGCCTCCAGGTTTTCTCGGGTGATGAAGCTTTTCGCCTCCTCCTATTGGGAGAAAGGTCAGGTGGAGAGGAGCCCTCAGCATGTGCGGCCTGCTGAGGCCAGCCCCCCCAGGAGAGGCTCTAGCTTTCCCTGGGGAAGGCTGCCCGGAGCCCAGGTCCTCTTAGCCCTGCGGACCTTCAGTGGAGTAACAGCAGGCAGCTGCCTCATTCCTTCCTGGGGCGGGACAGTCAGCTCCCGGGCACACCGGCTGTGGCAACACGGTGCCTCACTAGGTGGGCTTAGTCTCTCTCACTCACCCTTCTCCTGTTACTCTAGCAACCTCATCCACTCTCACTGGATTTGCCATTTTAGCCCCGGCTTAATCCTTGAATGACTTCATCATCCTTAAAGTAAAATCCAAACTCCTGGTGAAGCACAGACGCTTGAACACCCCCCAACGTCAACTGTCCCCTCTGGGCCACCTCACCGACAGCCGCACGCCCCACGAGCCTTCTCCAGACCCTCACCTGCTCTCGAACTCAAGTCCGCTCGCGCTCTCCGCCCCACTCCCGGGGCCCCCGAGTTCCCCGGCTGAGCCCCGCGCCCGCACCTGCAGCTGCTGCACTTCTCGCGCCTTGAGCTGCGCCCGGGCTTGCGCCTCCCGGGCTCGACGGGCCTGCTCCTCCGCCCGCCGCTGCTCCTGCTCCCGCGCCTCCCGCCGCAGCCGGGCGATCCTGCGAGGGGCCGGGGCCGAGGCTGAGCCGGCGGGTCTCCACCCGCGCAAGGGCGGCCCCGCCCGCCCCGCCCCCCCCCTCACCGCAGCTCGTGCAGCCGCCGGTTCTCCGCCAGGTTCCAGGCCATGAGCGCGCTGTGCTCGGCGGCGTCCTCCTGGGCTTTGCGTTCCGCCAGGACCCCGACGCGGGCCTCGCGCACCTTCCTCCGCACCTCGGCGCTGAACTCCACCCTGGGCGCACCCGCGCCCTCGTCGGCACCTTCCTCGCGCGCCCGCCGCCCCCCGGCCGCCCGGCTCCCCGCCCCCCCGGGCCCCCGCCCCCCCCAAGGCCCCCCGCCTCCCCAGGCCCCCCGCCCCCTCAGCCCCCCCACCCGCCCCGCCGCACACACCTCAGGGCGCGCACGGTCTCGCGGTACTGCCGGTAACGCTCTGTCAGCACGAAGAGCTCCGCGGGGTCCACGTCAGGCGCCTTTGCCACACGCCCGACCTTGGACTTGGCCGGGGGGTCATGGCGGGTCTTGCGGCCCCGCGCGGGCAGCAGCAGCAGCGGCGCAGGCGGCCGGCACCCGGGCCCCGCGCCCAGGCGGCTCAGGGCGCGCAGCATGGCCGAGGGCGCCCCGCGCCCCGCGTCCCCGCGCCCCGCCCGCCGCGCGTCCCGGGCCGGAAGCGGCCGCGCGGCACCCTGGGAAGCGTAGTCCGCGGCCCGCCCGCCCCCGGGTGGCTGACGGGCTCGGCCCCTCCCAAACCTCCCGGCGGCCGGGCCTGCGTCCCTTCCCCGCCCAACCCGGAAAGGGCCGGGGAGCGGGGGAGGGGGAGGAAGGACAGAACTCGAGGGAACAGTTTCGGGGACCTCACATCTTTATTGGAGGGTGGAGGGGCGCGGCGCTCGGAGTCCGGTCTGCGGAGGGGGAGGGGCGTGCTCGTTCCCGCAGCGTCGTCCCGGCTTCTAGAGGACCCAGCCTGGGGGCGCTCGGGTTCCCTGCAGGGGGCGTTACCCACCCGGAACTAGCTTCATCTGTGAAACCTGAGCTCCCATCGGCTTAACTCAGGTGGTGAGGTTTTGCTTTATAGGAAGTTGCTATTTTCTCCTGTATTTACGGTGCTCCCCTGGTACACTTTAAAATACAATTTGAAAATTAGCAATAGGCCACCTCGCCACACCTGGCTTCGGCTCTGGCTCTGGGGAGTCCTGCAATCACTCAGGCATTCCGAGTGCACATGGCAGTGACCGCCCACGGGAATCTGCCCACCTTGACTTCCCTTGACTGTCCAGAAAGACGTCTGGGGGACCCCCCGCTGCCAGTGTTGTATTTATGAAGGTTTTTAGAACACTTATCTCTTACTCCACTAGTGGCTTCTAATCTTTTACTTTAACAAGTATTTTATAAACTGTCTAGAATTCCGGAAAAGGGAAAGATAGCAGAGGGGATGTTGTGGCAGGGGCCTCTCATTTCCCAAAACACCCTCTTAACTCTACAGAGAAGTGGCCTCTCGCCCTACTTACCGGCAAAGTCTGCACTGGGTGCTGCTTCCCACGGAGGGGCCACTGGGCCACGGTCCTGCCCTTCCAGGGCACACTGTTCTCAGGCTTGGGGAGGGCATCACCTCGGAGGCTATGGGGAACCTGGCCAGTCCTGCCTGCTGCAGCCCAGGACCCTTCTTCAGAAGGGGGCCAAGGATACAGTATACCCTCCCTGCTCCTCCTCCTTCCCACACTCAGGCTAGGGAGACCCATTACCCACCTGTCAGCCTAGGGGCATATTGGGGGTACTGGGGTGAGCTGGAGGTCCGCTTTCCTCCAGGGTACCATCCGTGGGACCAGTGCTGAGCCCTCAAGGATCCAGGGTGAGTGGTCAGCAGCAGCAGCAGCAGCAGCAGGCCTAGCTGGGAGCTGGCCATGGCAGAGCTGTTCCCCTGGATAGTGGACAGCACTCCAGGGGCCTGTGGGATGGGTGTGCTGCCAGTGCTATAACCCTTCACCCTCCCACGCTAGGGGCAGCAGACCCAGGAAGAGAGAATGCTGGGCCTGGCTCAGGCAGCAGGGGGACTGGGAGGAGGAAGATGAGTGGTGAGCCATGCACCCAGGATGGAGCCCCATCCAGGAGTCCAGCTCTTGCGGGGAACAGCCTGCTCACTTACCAGGGAAGAGCTGTGGATGCAGTGGCTCCTCCAGATGGCAGCAGGACCCCAGACACAGAGCTTGTGATTTATCCATCAGGCAGCTCCACCCCCTGCTCCTGGCCATCCAACCCCTTCCCTTTCCAGTGTGTTCAGCCACTGGCCTGGGGTCACCAGACAGATGCCCCCTCCCCTTGTCCTCCCAGGGACAAGTCACAGGACTTCTGCTCCAGCCTGGTCCTGATTGAAGTCTCATCTTTCCACTTTCTAGGCTGTTTTCTCAAGCACCTGCCCTTAGGCTTAGAAAGCCCTCACAGCCCACCTTGAGCCAAAAAGGAATTTGCAGCCCAGAATAGGGGCAAAGTCTGTGGACTCTGAGTCCTATCCAGTTCAGGCCTCAGGGGAAGAGTGGGGAGCCCCACAGCCTATGAGGTGGGGGGAGGCTACGACCATCCTCCTGAGGACTTGTCTGCCTGTAAGATGTACTCGGTGGGATGGCGCTCACCCACAAACCTGGGCAGGAGGCTGGGTCACTCAAGGTGAAGGTGGGTATGGGTAGGCCAACCCGTCTACATGTGGTGTCCTTCCCCTCCAAGCAGGCCCAGGAGAGGGGGTCCAGCTGTGGGGGCGGTACAACCTCTGTGGTTATAACTTTCCCTCGTTTCCACCCCTCATTATCCGGTGCTTAACTTGGGACTATGCGTGGATTCTGGTCCAGCTGCCCTGGGACCCTAGAAATGGACTCCCACCTCTCAGTCTGCGTCAGCTCTGCTTTCCAGCGCCAGCCACCAGCCTCCGGGGAGCAGAGGCCTGTTTGCAGGGTTAATAGCTAATCTCCGCATTTGGGCTGACAGCGAATGCGAGGGCTGGGGTCAGGCCTGGCATCGTGGTAGCTGGCACAGGGAGAGCAGGTGCATCAACTCCTGTGCAGAGGTGGGGGATGGGTAGCGAAATGGGCGTCTGCACTTCAGCTGCCCGGGCAGGAGGGCACATGTGATTTCCTAGTTGACTTCTTCAGCAGAGACGTGAAATGAATGTGTGTGTTGTATGCTCAGTTGTTTTGGGAAATACAGATTTTTGTTCCTGTATGTAGTGGTTAACCTAAGTCATTTTTAGAACATTTGCTTTGTGGCATAGTGAAAATGACGAAGTTCAACAAACTAGCCTAGCTCTGGTTTAGAAATAGAAAATGTTTTATTCAAAGCTGCTGGTGTTCATTTTAAAAGAGGAATGGGTGCTTTTATTTCTCCTGTAATTTGTAGTTTTTCCTGTAGAACCCAAATCAGAACTACCTTCCCTAGGGAAGCTCTGGTCCCTTTCTCTCTGGCAACATACTTAGCTTTTCAGGAATGCTTTGCTGTCTCCTTCCAGTCTCTAACCATAACCAGACCTCACCCGCCTAGCCCTCTGGCAGAATTTGGAAAGCCATTTGTTCACCCTCGGGCTCCAACTAATGCTAAGCCCTAGGCACACCTGGGAGCCACAGCTCCCAGCTGTGGTCAGCTCACAGCTCAGGTTCTGTTGGAGCAACACAGCTGAGCAGGTGGTCTCAGGTGTAGGAGGAAGACAAGTTAGCTTGAGTGGTAGAAACAGGGCAGCAGAGTGCTTCAGTGTAAAGACCAAAATGGAGAAGAGCCAACACAGGATTGAGCAATGGGTGGTGGGGATGCAGCATGGGGGGGGGGGGTTGGGGAACGAGAATACTGGAAGGCTACAGGAGGGCCTCCGAAGAGGCTGGGTGAGCTGCTGGGCATGGGAATGTGAGACTGGTGCCTCTGGGTCACTGTGCAGGAAGCAGGATTTGTGGACCTGGAGCTCAGGCAGGGGCTCAGGAGCCACAACATAGAGAGACCCATGAATGCCTGAGGAAGGGACCCAAGGAGGAGCAGCCAGAGTGAAGACAGAAGTCAGAGGGAACCACTCCCACCAAGGAGCGAGCTAGTGAGCAGACATGGATGCCTGGTGCTCTGCACCAAGGTTGGCTTGGGTGAGAACAGGTGAGAGGATGTGTGGAGGTGAAGCATCCAGACTTTCTCAAGCAGCCTAGTGTAAAAGGGGAAGGACTCGGCTTGGGGAAGGCTCTAAGAGCTTATACCCAGCTCTTGCTAACTTCCAGGGGTGTTGTCATGATGCCCTGGCACCCGACATTCTGAGTATGTGATGCAGAAGATAATCCCTAGTGTGGCGCCCATCTTCGAGCCACCATTCCTTTATAATTTGCTAGATGCTGAGGCCTTCTGTAATATGGCTCCATTGGCCTTCCTGCCTTTGCACTCATCTACATTTCCAGCCCACAGGGCCCCGGTCCAGGTTTAGCCTTTCCTCCAAGAGGCAGAGCAGCACTGACCTCTGATGGATCAGGGGGCTGCCAGCTCTCATTCTGGGTTCCTAAGGAGCCCAGACCTGCTCCTCATAAAAGGCCTGAGGGCCCAATACTCTCAGTGTTACACTGATAGCGCCAGCAACCAGTTTACTCTCTTGCTCCCAAGATGAGTGGCTCATGAGGCGGCAGTGGACAGACTTAACCTCTCAGCTGTGGCCCCAACTGAAGACTACATTTCCCAGCATTCCTTGTAGCTGGGTATAATTTATGACTAGGTTTTAGCCAACGGGATGTGAATGGCAATGAAAAATGCAACTTTTGCTTTATATTCTTAAAAATGAAGCTGCTTGCTCTCATGGGAAAAGACAGTGACCTGGCTTCAACTGTGAGGATAAGACTAAAATCCTAAGGACAGTGGAACTATGAAACGGGAGGCTGCTGGGTCTCTGAACTGTTACATGAGATATAAATTAATATCCATCTCACTTAAAACACAAAAACTAGACACTTTGGCTAACATTATCAGGTTTGAAACCAAGTTGGGATTCTTCTACATAAAAGTCCTGGAAATGAGGGCAGATATGAAAAAAATTGGAAGGTATTTAGCATCGTAATTGTGGTACAAAGACTTACTCTGGACAGAATGATAGCATTCAGACAGTTTTCTAGTGAAGCACCAGGAATGACGAGGTCAGACTAGTCTCAAAGCTGGGCCCCCTCCTCCATGCCTCTGAACTTAGTGTTCTCTGAAGTGCAGCCCCTGGCCACCTTCTCAGGGAGCGAGGTTGGCTGGGCTGTGCTTGCTGGCGAGGAGTCCAGAGGACTGTCTTCTCTGAGGCTAATCCAGACAGAACAGTAACAGCGGGGCCAGGAATGCCCAAGCCCTGGTATGGTTGCCCCACCCCAGACAAAGGGAGAAACGTTTCCTCAGGGAGTCAAAGCTTTTTATTACCTGATAATCCCTAGTGTGGTGCCAGAGATACCGCTCTAGTCCCTTTACTCCCCCCTGGGGTGTGGGTGGTGGTGGTGGGGCAGGTGGAGAGGGGAGGGATTATTTACAGAGCAGGAAGGGAACAGGAGTCTGAATGGGAGTGCTGGGACATCCAATTTGCCAAGAGCTCTGAGAACTTTGTGCTTTTTAAAACTTAGTTGATGACAAGCTACCTGGAATGGGTTTGTGTTTCTTCTTTAGGAACAGATGTATGAATCAAAGAACAATACAGCCCAATTTCCAGGCAGAGGATTTCACGATATCAATCCAAACATCACACTATTTAATTCCCCAATAAAACATTGGAAAAAGGACTATCAGTGCTAACACATTTACATATAAAATCTCCACCTAATAGGTAATAGAAGCCTATGTACCAATTTCTAAAACAGTTATAAGATATATACACAATTTTGGGTATATTAACAAAACAGAATATTACAAAATATTAAAGGCAATTCTCCTGTCCATGGGGTCTCATCGCCGCTTACTTGAAGTTGGCATAATCTGAGAATGCGTCAATATATTCCTGCACCACCTTGTAGCAGAACTCATACTGTTCCTGGAGAGTGAAATCGAGGAAAGAGCCAGGGTTACGGGAAAGCACAATGTGCCTGCAGTTCCAAATAGACTTAGTTTTGAAAACATGAAAAATCCAGAGGAAATTCATGTTTCTGGACTTCCCTGAGCCCTGATCTACCCACCAGAGTCTCATAGCACTCCCCGTTCGGACTGACTGCCGTCAGTCTTCTAGGACGGCAGCCACCAGACACAAGGATGGTGGTGCTAGGCCTGCAGAGTTCAGATGTGAGTGGGCTGGCAGACTGGGCAGCTGGTGGTGTGACCCTCACCTCCCCATGGGCACCAGGCTGGAGGTGCCTCAACTTTCAAAGCCTCACCAATTCCCAGACTATTTTAATATTCATTTGACTTTCCCCTTCCGACAGTTCTAGCTTCACAGGATTAAAGAGCCTTTTTGGATATCCATCCTCATATTCAGTGGTTACCAGAACCTAGACTGGAGTCAGATCTCTTGATAGGGAGCCTGAGCAAGAGGGGAGGCACTCCGGCACCCCAGTCTGGCCTTCACAGTGGGTAAACTCACATTTCTTACTGGTGTGGGAGCTATGGCCCCATGGTGTCCTGCCTTCCAATGCTGTTAGTCTGGGGCAGCTTGGAGAGGGATGAGTCTGTGGTTACATTCTTCTGACAACCAGATGGCCCCTTGGAAGAGCCTCCCTCCCCCGAGCTGGCCCTGACAGAGAAGGGCTACAGATGGTGTGGTGCAAAGACAATACTGGGGGCAGCCTACCAGTGTCTGGACCATGTGTGGCCTCTGCAGCCGCAGGCTCTTGACGGTCTGGAAGACATCTAAAATCCCCTCTGCTTTCACCCGTTCCAGGACTGTGCTCAGGGCACAGAAGGTCCCCGTCCGTCCTGCTCCCGCGCTGTAACAAAGCAGACACACTTACCACACCTGCCGCAGCCTGCAGTCATGAAAAGGCAAGTGATTGTGTAATAAGCAAGTAAGGCTGGTGCTGTGTGTGCACCCAATGCCCTTCCTGATAACCTGCTTTTTCTGCCAAGGGACAGTGGTGAAGAACCTCACACTCATCCCCCAGCATTGAGGCTTCAATTTCTACCTATAAATGTGCCTGGCTTGCCCTGACCTGCTGCTCACGCAGGTTACAGTTCTTGCCTCTTTTTCCTTCCCTGACAAGCCCTTTCCTCAGCCCTAGTATGTGTGCGCCAATTCTTTTTCCATGTCTCTTATTCTCTGCCTAAATTCCAGGTATCCACACTCTGACCACACTATCCATTCTGTTCAACATCACCAGTTGATTCACTTACCGGACCCTTACTGAGTTCCTGCTGTGTGGTGGGGCAATAAGATAGCAGATTAGGAAGGGAAAAGATGACCAGAACTTCCAGGCGGGATGGGGGGAGCTGCAACTGTGAACAGTGTCAGGGAAGGCTCTCTAATAAGTGCTACAGGAGCAGGAGACCCAAGGCAGGTGAGGGTAAGGCCCAATGCTGTCTGGGAAATGAGCATTTTAAGCACAAGGCAGGAATGTCTAGGAGCTGAAGCCAGCATGTAGTTGCATCGGAAAAGAAGGGTGGTGTGGGTGTGGTCAGAGCCCTCAGATCATGTGGGGTCTTGGGAGCTGTTGTTGGGGTTTTAAGTGGTGTGACTGAAATTTTAGAAAGCTGCTACACTCCTGGGTTGAGAACTGACCACGGGGGAAGGGTGGGAGCAGGGAAACCCATGAGGCTAGTAGTTGGTGGGGAGAAGGAATGGTGACTTGGACAGAGGTCACGGTGGAAGGACTGAGGAGCACTTGATTCTGAAATGATTTTGCCTATTGAGCGTTAGAAAGCACATGTGTAAGCAGAGAACGGGATGGCTTGAAGGCGTCTCAGCAGAGTTAAGTGGGTGAATGAAATGCCACTTACCAATTTGCAGAGGGCAGTGGAATAGCAGAGTTAGAAAGAAAGATTACGAGTTCTGATTTGAACCCTTTAAAATGAAGATGACAAATGTTGAGTATGTAATTAGGCATATAAATTGGAGTTTAGGGGGGAGGGTGAATTGGTAAAGATTTGAGAGCAGGTATTAAAGTCAGGAAACTGAATGAGTTCACTGAGGAGAATGACTGTCAGCTGACAGAAGAGGTACAAGGACTGTGCCCTTGACTGCAGAGTCAGCAAAGGAGACAGGAGACAGCAATGAGGACAGAAGCCATGCTTTCAAATGTTCCACAGAGCAGTGAGTGATCAATTGTGTCTAATGCTGATGGATAACGAAGCTGAGGCGTGATCACTGGGCTCAGAAATATGGAAGTTACAAGTGGCCCTGACAAGCACAGCTGTAATGGTGAGTGGGGTTAACTGGAATGGGTTCAACAGAGGAACTGAGAATGGACAAATCTTTTATTTTTTAAAAAAATTTATTTATGTATACAAGAGCTGGGGTGTAGGCCAGAGGTAGGGGTTTTATGGGGTGTGTGAAAAGATTCACCAGAGACGGAGTGTGGAGCAGAACAGGCAGATTAACAGAGATACACTGCTGAGGGGAGCAGCGGGCCAGACAGGAGAGGTCTGCTGTGCCACGTGGGTCAGCTCCCTGGCCGGGGATCAAACTCATGTTGCAGTGGCTGGCAAAAGCTTCATAGTGCTGAGACTTAACCCCTTGAGCCACAAAGGAGGCCCAGACAAATCTTTTAAGAGGCTTTACTATTAAAAAAGAAACAGAGGTAAAGGAGAAAGAGAGTGTCTTAATATTGAGATGGGAGAACTATCGTGTCTGTACAAAGATAGCAGTTATCCAGGTACTTATCCAGAGGAAAACCTGGCAAGGAAGGACAGTGAAGACAGGCCCTGTCTTTAGGCAGAGTGAGATAGAAAGTGTGATACAATTGGTATCCAAGTGGATGGGGGTGGGTACAGTACACTATAGTGTGGCTCCCAAGATCCTTGCCCTTGTGATCCCCTCCCCTGGAGAGTGGGTAGGGCCTGTGAGGTGTTTCTAACCAACAGAAAATATTGCAAGGGTGATGGGACAGACACAATTACATGTATGTGATACATTCCATGAGAGCATAATGCTGGTCTTGCAAGGAGAGAATCTTGCTGGTGTAGAAGGAGCAAACAACCATTTGAGGAAGGTCCTCAGGGCAAGGAACTTCAGAAAACAGAGGCTCTCAGTCCAGCAGCCAACAAGGGACCAATGCTACCAACATTTACACAGATTTGGAAGAGATTCTTTCCTAGCTGAGTATCAGATGGGGACCCAGCCCGAGCCAACACCTTGATTACAGCTTATGAGACCCTGTAGCACAGGACTTGGCTGAGGTTGCTCAGACTCCTGACAGAGATAGATGTGTTTGGTTGCTGAGTTTGTGGTAATATTACACAGCAACAGCTGATTAAAGTGGTTGGCTTCAGAGAGAGGCCAGCCTGCACATCCACTGAACAGGAGGGCTGCAGCACCAGTGCAGGTAGGTGGGGAGCTGCAGAGGTGGGAGCAAGTGGAAGTTCTCTCTGATGGTGTCCTCTTTTCTTAGTCAAATAGAAAACAAGGTCATCTCTTAAATATGAGGAAGAAAGAAGTGTTGGAGGTTTGAGAGGCATGAAACGATTATCTAGGACCAAGGTTGGCAAACTTTTCTATAAGGGACCAGATAGAAAGATTTGGCAGTGGGCACTAGTTTGCCTTGTCCTGGTCCAGAAGAGTGGGAGATGCAGGAGGACTACGGAGCCTCCCCCACCTAATTATATAAAAGTACTAAGGGACACCGCAGGTCAAAAGTCAGAAATGTAGGGGCCTCCCTGGTGGCACAAGGGGTTAAATCTCAGCACTGTGAAGCTATCAGCAGCCACTGCTCCTTCCACATCCCTGGCCAGGGAGCTGACCCACATGGCGCAGCAGACCTCTCCTGTCTCGGCCACTGCTCCCCTCAGCAGTGTATTTCAGTCAGTCTGCCTGTTCTTCTCCCCAGTCTGTCTCTGGTGAATCCTCTCACTTCCCGCACCTCTCTGGCCTACATCCCAGCTCTTGTATGCATAAATAAATTAAAAAAAAAAAAAAGTCAGAAATGTAAAATGAAACCTGGGAATAGGGTGCTCTTCCTCAGCCACATTTGGATGCGTGGAACAAGAGAATACTGGGGTTTGCCAGGAAAGGATGACCAAGGGGGAGCAGCTTGGGAGATAAAGTTTGGGCAAGAAAGTACTTACTTGGTAGGGCAAGCCCAAGGAATCACTGTAGTTTTGCTGATCTAATAGGCAAAAGCCATGTTTCATTGTTTTCATTGCTGTTTCTTATCTTACTAGTAAGAGTTAGCATCTTTTCCTGTTTATCATCATGTTACTGTATTAGTTGATGCACTCTGCCACTTTTTGTTTTCTTCCAAAAAAAGTCTTCCTATTCCATTTCTCTACCCTTCAGTTTCCTTTCCGGAAAAAGGCCAATGTCATTCAGTCCTTGCATGCTCACACCAACACAAATATATACTATTTCCCCATCTCCCAATGCTCTTCTTACCAATCAGTAAATCTAGAGGATTATTCCATACTGATACATAAACAGGTTTATCAATTTTCTGCAGCTCTGTAGCCCAGCTTACCCACTCAGTCCCCATAAGCCATATTTAGCTTATACTCATTTACTGTCACAACCAGTGCTTCTTCAAGGTGTGAAGTTACACTCTTGAAATTATCTAGTTTGTAAACTTCAATTACTTCATTTTGGCTGCCTGAAGAACATTTACTGGAAAAATTCTTAGAAGTTCCTTTACATATTTTCAAAACCACTTTGTAGAAATTTTTAACATAATCCTTTCTTTTAAAAGAGCTTCCCCCCTAACTATAAAAGCAACACAAACTCATGAGTTTAGAAAAACTTTTTTCTAAATCCAATCTCAAACATGTTCCAAGCAAAATTCACTTTTTCTTCCCAAACGAGTCCTTTTACCAGGCATCTTTCTCCTGTCAGTGATCGCCAGTACTGGGAACTCACTCTCAAAGCTGGGAGACACCCTTCACTTCTCGTTCACAATTCTGTTCTTCATTTTTCTTCAAACTGTTTTCAAAACAATCGCCCCTTTTCTTTTCCCCATGTTTCTTAAGGAGGACGGCGCCTCCCCCACACATTGCTCAACTGGCTCTTCCACTGTCAGTGTCACCTGTCCCATTATCTTAACTTTATTGCTTCCCGAGCACTTCAAGATCCAAGATCCTCTTATCCTATATGACCCTGTCCTGGTTGTCAAACCTGACTACCATGTGCTCACCAACATCCTGCTCCTGCCTGGCTCTTACTGCCACCTGACAGATGTTCACCTCCCCCGCCCCCCCCCCCCACCTTCCTTCTCTCTCTCCGCTCTGACTGAGGGCTGGGGTGGGAGGTACCTGCAGTGCACCGTGATGGGGTGGTTCCCTGACTGCTGCTGCTGCTTCTGCACGGCTGCGATGATGCTAATCATGCCCTTTCCATCACTGGGGATGCCCACTTCAGGCCAGCCATGGAAGTGGAACTGCCGAATCTGCCGGCTCTTGTTCTCCTTTGGAGAAAGAGGGGTTAGAGAGGCAGAGGCCACTCTGCTTTCCCTTGGTGAGGCACTCTTCCCACCAGACCTCTTACCCTGGTGTTGGTGACCAGGAGGTCTCTGACAGTGTAGCTCTCACATTCTTCCTCCTTCTTCAGCTCCACTGTGATGTCTCCATAGGACACCAATCCATCTGAGGGCCAGTACTGGGCACACTTCTCCTGGATGGGCAAACGTAAGAGGTGAGGGGCTCAGAATAACAAGTATGCTAGAGGTAGAGCTGCCCCATGAATAATGGCCCCCTGATGAGAAGGCTGCCTCTCAGCACCTCTTATTCCGACACACTTCATCCCCAAGGTATCAAAAACTTGGAGAGTCACTACATTATTTAACACTGCTCCAATTAACCGAATCTTCACCAGGGCACCAATTTAAAAACTTAATTCCATTATCGGAAATAATACTTAACCTTTTGGTGTTACTTAACCTAATTTGCAACACTGACAGGATCTGAGAGGCGCTCAGAGTCATATTCAACACTCAATGGTAGGGTAGAGGGAGAAAAGTTATGAATATATTTGTTCCAGTTCTTTTTTTCCTTCCTTTGCTTATCCCTTGGGGTATTTCCAAATTCTATAGTTTCTTACGTACACATCATTCTGAGGATCCAGAAAAACTGAACCCAGTTACATTCCCACCCAGTCCTAGGGCTTCACCACAGTTCCATCCACAGTGTCCTCCATCCCTTTTCTCTTTAGTGCTGTAATCTGCAATGGTACCAGCAGCCACATTTCTCCCAGTGCTCATGAGCAGGAGGTGCTACTTTTCATCTTTTTGTTACCAGCACCTTGCACACTGGCTGCTGATGGCAAAAGCTACTGGTTGTCAGACACCAACTGACTGGGCAATACTGCCTGGAAGTAACGTTTTGGATGGTTTAAGTCAAAGAAAAAGTGCAAATATACCTTCTAGCTGCCCCCCCCCTCAAATGCCCTTTTCAGGCAGTCTTTCTCCAATAGCCCAGGGCCTTTCTGCACCCACCTGGCCTCTCTCCTCCAGTTCTGTTAGCATCACAATAGAGCAGGATTTCCACTCCCAGATCATCCTCCAGAAGTCCTCAATGGTGTGGAGAAGAGGGCCCTGACTGGCAATGTAGGAATCCTTCTGCCGGTAGCCCTATACAGGCCAAATCAATAGCAGGAGTGAGGAGGTTTAGTGGGGAAGGAGAAGGGTCCTAGTGAAGAAGATAGGTCCTTAGGGAAGGATGGGGGTGGCTTGGAAGCAAATGTCTCTGAGGCAGAGCTCCCCTTTGGCCCAGGACCAAACTCTGACCAACTGGTCTCTGTCTTTGGTAAGAAAAGGGGGGGGGGGTACGGGGTTGAAGTGAGGAAGAGAATGGGATAGAAAGATCAAAGGTATTTTCAGCTTTTGGTTGTGGTTTACGTTGTGAATTTTTCTTTGCAGCTGTTACACTGGTGTGTACTCTTAGTCTCCTACCGCCTTCTGCTCCCTGGGGCCTGAAAGACCAGTTCACAGGAGGGGTATGTATTCTGCATTTGATGATGGACTCACAATCTTCCCAAGCACTGGGATGGCAGCAGTGCAAGGCAAAGCTGAATTTCCATGGGGTGTTGGCGCTCAGGGAACACAGCCACCACTTACATCAATGAAGGAAGCATTCACATAGTCTGTGTTCTCCTCGCCCCTCTTCACTGGAATGATCACTCTGTTGAATTCATCTGCAAGAAAGACAGCAGCAGTCTTTCCATCTTTCCTCCCAACCCCTGGGCAGAATTTATCCCAGGTGGGCAAGGACATGGCGAATCATAGCCCAGAGGGAGTGCCTTTGGTCTTCACATTTTTATTTCCAGAATCCACTAAAAAATTAGGAGTAACAAGAGGCAATGCCCTAATTTTTGTTTCCAAACTGATCATTAATACTGAGAAGTGGAAGAGGTAGAGGGTTAAGGGGGAATGGGGCACTAAGGCTTTGGGGTGGGAGAGGAGTCTCACATGGAATGATCTGTAAAACTCGGTTCTTCTTCATATTGGCTGGGAGGTTTCCAGTCCGCATCTTGTCATTCTGGATTTTGATTGATGTTAATTTCTGAATTGGGAGTGGAAGGGAAATATTACTGATCCTAGAAACTGAATTTGACAGGATGACACCTGTCATGGACTTCTGCCTCCAGGCTAGTCACCCTGGTTGCATGCCAGTCCTGTTCACATCCATGTGCTCTGTGCTTGAACAGTTTCTTTTGTCTTTAAGCTCAAAGAACAAGCCAAAAGAACAGGAAACATTGCCTTCTAGGCTCCTAGGGACCCTTCTGAGTTTCCCTTGGACTGGAACTTTAAAGAACTACAGAAAGAATCCTAACCCCACAGGAGAGTGCCTGCCCTCCCTCTCTCCCTTGCTGGTCTGCCCCTAGAAGCTGTTTCAGACTCTTTAGAAAACTTTATTCAAATGTCTATCTTCCTTTCCCTAGATTCTGAGGTTCCTTCTTGATCCTTGCCACTCAAAGTATAGCTGATAAACCAGAAGCATCAGCCTCATATCTTGTTAGGAATGTAGAATCTTGGGTCCTAACTCAAGACATGAATCAGAACCTGCACTGTAATAGAATCCTGAGGTAATTTTGTGCACATTAGTTCAGCAAGGATGACTTTAAGGAATTTGGTCTCCCCCACCCCACCCAGAATGGCTTATTTCTGAGCAGTGATGAGTGTGTGTCAAATTCCTTAGGTGTGCTGAGAACCACTGTTTAATGCAATATAGCAGGGACAATCACTATAATACATGGATTGAATCTGACCTGCTGGCTTCCATAAAAGTTTTATGGAAGCACAGCCATGCCTGTTTGCTTACATAGTGTCGATAGCTACTTCTGAGCTACAACAGCAGTATTAAGTAGTCACAACTGAGACTGGAGGGCCTCTAAAGCCTAAAACACTTATTCGCTAACCCTTTACAGAAAAAATTTGCTTTCACCACACATTATAATTGCTGTGGGGGTTGGAGACTAAAAAAATAAAAAACCATTGCCTCCCCCTCCTCCCCAAGACAGTTCAATGACTCTAATGTGCAGATGGATTGGCAATGACTCTGAATACAAGTAAAGGGTCAGAGACCTACCTCCTTAGCCACTACCTGCCTCTCAAGGGCATTCTCACCTTTCGTTGATAACTCTATAAGGAGTCAAGCATCCTATATTATCCAGATTAAAAAGGACCCCTCAGTCAGAGAGGGGATTCAGCTTCCACTCACCTTAAACTCTTCTTCTAATCCATTGTTGCTGGTCCCTGGGATTTTGTTGTATATTTTCTGCAGATGTGTTTCTAGAGAGGTCACTTCCAGTTCTGTATCTCCATAGAGATAGTGCTCCAGAAGGGCTTGGTATATGAAGACATACTGCATCTGAAACGCGGATGATGTCCATGTTCCCAGTTAGATACAACGTAGTCTTTGTGGGGCCAGGTCATTCCTCCCACCCCCATTTCATCCCAGTCCCCTTCTCCTTTGACCTGAGCAGGGGAAAAATGATTTGCTCTCCTTTCAGTTCAGTGAGGCAGGACTAGAAATACACGTGTCCCTCTGGGGGTGCTTAGCTGGGAAGGGTGAGCCCTAATTTGGCACCCTCCCTAGAGTAAAAGTCTGGAGAAAGGACAAATTCAACTCCTGCTCATTCTAAGAGCACAGGTTTGATAGTCTGAAGGGGCTGTAAAAAATCTGGTGACACACAAAACCTGTGCCAGCCTCCCTCCCAAGTGTCCTTTGAACTCTGTGCCCCCTAGCCAGAAGTCAGACATTGCTGAGCTGTGTTAGCACTCTGTGAGTACTGGCTTTCTCAGCTGCCCCCGTGCCTGTTTCCCCCAGGACCTGTTTCTTTTCTCTCTTATTTTTTTAAGAGGTGGGGTACAGGCCAGAGCTGCAGGGGGTGAGAAGATTCATCAGAGAAAGCAGGGAGCTGAACAGGCAGATGTACCAAAATACACTGCTGAGGGGAGCAGCAGGCGAGAAAGGAGAGGTCTGCTGCCCCATGTGGGTTGTTCCCCAGCCAACCAGGGATTGAACGCCAGCGAATGAACTTGTGCCGCAAAGGCTGCGACAGTCTCACAGTGCTGTTCTCAACCCCCTGCACCACCAGGGAGGCCCAGGTCCTGTTTCTTATCCTTAAAGCCTAGTGCAAGTGTCATTTTCCTTCTCATTTCCCTAGGGACAGCCTCTTCTGTGATTCACATTTCCTTTAATACATGATTTATAAGGGCCCCTCATCTCACTGTACGATGATTATTTACAATAACCTGGGAGACTGAGTAAGCCATTAGGTGGGTAGATGTTTTCCTTTCTGAAATGCCCCCAACCTCACCTCAACCACACATTACTCACGTCTGTCTGCACCATCTGGCAGCGCTGTGCCCGGATCCGGCTCACAAAGCCATACACGTCCACTTTCCGCTCTGTATGCATCATGTCCAGCATGGCATCAATGACGACAAAGGTACCTGTTCGCCCTACCCCTGCACTGTAGCCAGAGAGCAGGAGTGTTACCAGGAGGGCCAGCATGCCTTGTGGGAGCATACAGGGAGTGGGCAGCACAGGCCGGGCTCTTTCCTTAGGTTTTGAATTCTGAATAGGGTAGAGCTGGGACTCTCACGGAGCCAACAATCCACTATACCTTTACCTCTTGCTATCAGGGCAGGGAAGCCTGACACTCAGAGAGGTTCTGAAGGCTCCGAGTATACAAGGCAGCATTCAACCCAGTTTCTTGGCTTCATAGCCAAGATGGGGGTATTCCCACTCCCAATCCTGGAGAATCTTGCCCTTCCCTCTTTCCTCAAGGGCTCTCTACCCAGCACCAAACTTGAAGAGCTTCTCTGGGGGCCTCAACAACTCAACTGCTCTGTGCCAGTCTCCTTAGTCAGGGCCCCTACTCTCTCCCCTGATCTGGCCATGGGAGCAGAATGTAGTATGAGTGGGGAGTCAAGGGTCAGCCACACTAACCTGCAGTGGACCACGATGGCCCCTGCATACTGAGGGTTACAGGCCTTCACCTTCTTGAGGAACTTGAGCATGCCGATAGGGGTGAAAGGCACCCCAAAGTCTGGCCAGCTGGTGAAGTGGAACTGAGTGATGAGGCGCTGTGGTTTTCTGTTGGTCACGTCGCCCACCTGTGAAGTGAGGGTCAGAGACAACGGGGATGTGAAAGTGTGTCCAAGGAAGTTTTAACCACAGAAAATCTTTCCAGGAACCCCATGGGATAGGTAGGGCTGTTACTTTTCTCAGCCTACAGATGTGGAAAGTGAAATTCAGAAACATTGAACAAGCTGGCCAAGGTTCCAGAACTAGTAAACGGTTTCTGGTCAGAACTAAAATGCAGGACTTCTGATTATGGGAAGTCTCCTTTTTATAGTACCATGCTGTCCTCAGCTGAAGGTGACCTCTGCTCAGGTCTCCAGGGTCATTTTGAAGGGCCAGGAGCAGAGCCCACCACTGCCTTGATGTTAGGAGTCTTGGAGTAAGAAAGGAGGAAAGGTGAGACAAGTACCCAGGAGACTGCACTACCTCCTGATGTACCTGGTTCATATGTACTTTTCCTCCCAATCATAAATCTACTTCCTTATCTTTGACAAAGAAGTTCTCTGAGAGCACAGGTCTCTGGTTTCAGTCCAAACATACCACACACAGAGCAATTCCTGTCCACCCTGAGTAAGAGAAGGGATGCCACAGCCAGTGCTGCCATCGCAGTGGTTAGCTGATCCTGAGGAGAACTGAGAAGGGGGAGGGCAACAGTACCTGCTGAATGCAGAACTTCCGCACTGTGTAGTCCACCAGGACAGTCACATCCTCTACTGACACACGGATATTCCCATAGGTCCAGCAGCCTTGGTCTGGCCAATACTGGGCACATTTACACTGAAAGAAACAGACACACATGCTCTGATCTCAAGACCTCTCACTCCTAGCACAGGACTGGTGCTGGCTGTGGCCAAGTAATGGGGTTACCAGGCATGTATTTGGCAGCCACAAAAAGAAAAAGATCAGCCAGAGGAGGACTGGCTGTAGGTCAAGCCTGAGCCTTAGCTTCCTTTTTACTGCTCAGGGCCTCAGTTCATATAGCTCCCTCTGCCAAGACAGGATGAGGGACTAGAGAAGTCACGGGAGGAGAGTCCCTCAGTGGCTTTTCTATGACTTACCACCCAAGTCTTTCATGTTGTTTTGGAACCAATGTGATTGTTTCACTATCAGATATAGAGAAAATGCTGTGCCCTAAGCACACCCAAGATTAAGTGGAGGTTTCCAGGTCACACCGAAGTCTGATAGGCATACTGGCCTGATTTCTGTCTGGATGAACAGCTTGCACAGTAATGACCAAGGGTGGACACCCAGGCTTAAACTCAGAGCTGCAGTAGAGCAGTCCCTCTGCTGGGTCATGCCTGTATCAGGGGCCCTTCTACCTCATTTCTCCACTTACCTCCTTCCTCTCCTTCAGATTGGTCACCATGACGATGGTGGCTGTATTTTGTTCCCAGATCATCCTCC